GTACTCAAGATCATTTCAGTCTATTTCACCTTGTAGTTAATGGAATATAAGCACACGTGGGGCTGAAACCATTTGGAAAGCTTACCGTCCTCGACGTCAAACGCGTAAGAGGACAGCCGTAGAGTCGTGCCGCAGTAGTCGCACTTGAAACAGCTGCGATGGAAGAACTTCCCCTCGGCACTCAGCCTTTCCATCACGTACACGCGTTTTCGGCAGAAGAAACAAACGTCGCTGCCTCCGATGTTGACGGGGAATTCTTTCCTGAGCGAGCCCTGCAAGGGAAAAAGTACTGAATCAATCTTTATTTATAAATGAAGAGAAACGTTCAAACTGGTGCACAAGGAGAAAGTTGTTGTTAAGCCAGTCGCTCACATCAGGTCACTACAAATGTTTGAAGTTTACTGATATTATTTACAAGCTAATGATTCCAAAATACAGCAATTCAAAAGTTATTCATTAGGGATGAATCAGTGCAGGCGAGCAGCAGTCCAAATTACAGGGACTCGTTGGGAAAACACACTCTGCAGCTACGGGAGAGAAGGAAGTTAAAATGTGGTAAAAGGAGCACGATGTGCAAAAAACACACGCTGCAGTGATCTGTGTAGCCACATGCCTTCTACTCTACAACCCGAGTGCTTACCAAATCCCTCTTTTCAGGTACTTGTGTGGGCTTGGGAGACTGAAGCTGACTGGCTATCTGCTCGGTCAATGAGCTAACGCCCCCTGTGTACATCCTTACATACTGCTATCAACAACAATGAGAGAAAGAAAGAAAATTAAGAGGACAGGTAGACAAACATTAGAAATGATGGATGAAAAACAACGTGAAAAACAGAAGGAAGAGGTGTGTGTGCGACAAGTGCTCAAACACAGCAGACAAACAATGGTGTCTAACGGGGAATTTACACAAGACAAAGGAAGCGTTTGCACGCTGGACTGGTCGAGTGTTTAGACGTGTGTGAGGCTCCACCAAAAGCAGCAAACGCAGTTCCTGAGAAAAACCTCAAAAGTTTCATGTTGGGTTTACTACCAAGAGCTGGATTTGGAAAAAGATCAAATATCGCAGTGTTTAGACAATTCGGGTAAAGCAGTCATGCAGTTTTTATTCACTTGCACACACAAAGTCACTCATGCTGCACCGTATCATCCGCTGCACCGTAAATATAAACAAGCTGCAAAAATCTGCAAAGCTGCGTTGCTAATTCCCAAATTCAGCAAGTGTTTGGCATATGAGATCATCTTTGGGTCTAATTCTGAATTAATCTACACCAGGATTAGATTTCAATCTATGAAACCTCAAAGAGCTTTAAAAAGGGAAGAATCTAGGTCGACTGTAGCATGTGGCAAACCTAAGCCACGAAAACTATTACCGTGCACCGCTCTGCTAAATTGAAAGTTGGCTCGTCAACATGGGAATTACACTAGATGAGATTTTTGCTGCCAAGCTGCTCTTACAATCCAAATCAGCTACTGAGTACAAATAAGCGTGGGAATTATAACAAAGTTCTGCTAAGATTACTTTAGTATCTGTTCAGACACGGTGACGGATCACTCGCACTCACTAATCACAGCAAACGTGCTAAACAAATGAGTTTGCTCGCATTTCTGAACAAGCAGCCCGACTTTCAAGCAAACATCAGGTGAGATCACGTTAAGCGACTTGTGCTGGAAAGTGAGGTGCATCATCTTCCTGACAGGCCAAGTGCAAGTTTAGTGTGTCGGCGCCACAGCACGCCATTCCTTCCAGGCATAAAATGACTACCTGTCTCAAAGTGTCAGACGTGGTGGGGGGAGAATCAGGGGGACTCTGGGGGCTGGCCAGGCGCCACTGCTCCATAAAAAAGCGTGATGGCTTTTTCTTAGGCTCCAAAGAGGGAGAGAG